AGAGAGGGAGAGAAACATCCATTGGTTGCTTCTTGCATGCCCCGAACTGGGGATATGGCCCACAACCCAGGGATATGCCCTGACCAGGAATTGAACCAGCAACCTTTCGGGTTACTTGCTGGTGCTCAGCCCATTGACACATTGGCCAGGGCTCGCTATATTTTCTATTAACACATCACTTCTAATGCAGTCTAACAACTTTTGTCTTTTAATTGGAACATTTAATCTATTGGTATTCAAAGTAATAGTTGATGTATTTCAGTTTATATCTTTTTTTCCTGACTATTTGCTTTCTTTTATCCTGCCTGTTCTGGGTTTGTTTTTTTTTTTCTACTTGTTCTTATTTTTTTTAAATGATTACTTAGTTTTTATTATTACATTAGCAGTTACACACTTTTACTATTCTGTTCTTTGTGTAGGTTACCACGCACACATCCTTGACTTATCAAGTCTAATACAAATCAGTACCTTTACCTTTTCCTGTACAATGAAAGGACCAGGACACCTTTAGCTTCATCCTAGCACATATGCTGCTTTTGTCACATATTTTTACCTCTTTACATATTAAACCCACAAAAGATTATTATTATTATTGTTTTATACTCAAAAGTTCATTTATATCAGGCTTTCTCAGCCTTAGCACTGTTAACATTTGGGTTGGATAATTCTTTTTTTTTGTAGGGTGGCTGGCCTTTCTACACTTAGTAGCATCCCTGGCCTCAAGCCAGTAAATGCCCCTTCAGTTATGAGAACCAAAAATATCTCCAGACATTACCAATGTATCCTATGGTATGGATGGAATCATCCTGCCCCTAGATGAGAACCACTAATTTAGATTGACACGAACATTTATCCTTTTTGTTTCTCTTTATTTCTTATTGCATATTCAGTCCTCTCTTAGGATTACCTCATTTCTGATTGATGAATATCTTTAATTCTTTTAGTACAAGACAACTGATGACCAATTCTCATTTTGGTTATCTGAAAATAAATGTTACGTGTTTTCTGAAAGGCTCTATTCTCTAGGTATGAAATTCTAGATTGCTAATTGGTTTCGTTTGGCATTTTGAAGATTTAATTTCAATATCTTCTTGTTTCTGTCATTTCTATTAAGAAGTCATCTGTCCAACTAATTTCTCTATTAAAAATAACTATTTTTCCTGGCTACTTTGAAAATGTCCTCTTTAGCTTTGGCTTTCAGCTATTTTACTCTGTTATACTTATGATTTTCTTATTTTTATCCTACTTGAGATTCATAGCACTTTTGAACCTGTAGCCTCAGATTCATCAAATTTGGGAACTTCTAAGCCCTTATCTCTTCAAAGAATACTATCTTGCTTCTCTCTTCTTTTTCCTTTTAGAACTACAATTACATGTATGCTAGTCTTCTTATATCTTTTTTTGTTCTGTTTTGTCCTTTTGGGTTTTTTTTTAATTTTTCGATTACAGTTGGCACTCTATATTAATTTCAGGTGTATAGCATAGTGGTTAGACACTTATGTAACTTATGAAGTGATCCCTCTGTCACAATATCAGTATATTCTCTATGCTATACTTTACATCCCTATTTTTTAATCCCTGTTTTTTAACTGCCAATTTGTACTACTTAACCCCTTCACCTTTTTCAACCAGCCCCCCAACCCTCTAAATGCCCCTCCCATTTGATAACCATCAGTTTATTTTCTGTATCTATGAGCTTGTTTCTGTTCTGTTTGTTCATTTCTTATTATGTCTTTAATGTCTGTTTCCTTGTCTTGTACTTTTCATTCTTGTGTGACTCTGATTCATCCTGGTTTTTCTTTTAATCTGCCTTCCAGTTCACTAATTAGCTACTCAACTGTGATTTATTTGCTATTAAATCTACTCATTGACTTCCTTATTTTTGTTGTGTGGCTGGATTTTTTTTTTATGAGTTTTCAGTGGGTTTTTCTTATTGCTTCTGACTCTACTGAAGTTTTCAATCTTGCATTTTACTTTTTTGACCATATTTGTCACAAAAGTACTCTCTGAAGACTCCATATTCTGGACCATCTATATGTCTATTTCTGTAGTCTGTATTTTTTTAGGTCTTTAGCCATGTTTTTCTATTTGTATGCTTGATGGCTCTTGCTTGAGTGCCAGACATTGTATATGAAAAATTATGAAAATACTTTGAAGCCCAGGATAATGTGTTCTCTATCCCAAATAGATTTACATCTGCTTTGCCTGTGAGGCTAAGGGCACTACTAATTATAGATCAAGTGATTTGAAGCACTTTGTGTCCTAAACCAAGCCTAAGGATTTCACCAGCATCTCTCTTCCCTGCCACCCTTGCTGCTTGCTTGGCCCTTTTCCTTGAGTTTTGGGAAACTTGAGTTTTGTCTCTCTCTTGGCTAATGAGGCTGTTTTAAAGCTATATACTAAGCCTCTTGGCCTCCAGAAGAAAAGCTTTTCCAAACCTCTTTGGGTTTCAGACCTTTCCCATGTGTTGGTCCTGTTATTTTCCTGTCTTGTTTAATTTTCCTCAGCAGGTCAATCATTCTGAATTGCCTAGCCTGCCATTATTAGAAGCAGACGTTCCCTCAGAATCGTTTTATCTCCTCTTAAAATATAGCCACTTCCTGAAAGAGAATGTTGTGAGTTGTAAAAATTTTAAATTCTTATATCAGAAAATATTCTGTTTGGTTGGAAATAGAATTATTTCAACATTATTCTCCTTCAATACTTTACAGATATTATTCTCCCAGTTTCTTTCATCTAGTGTTGCTGGTGAAAAGTTTAACTTGAATCTGATTTTCATCTCTTCCTAATAAATCTCATTTTCCCTCTTTCTATAAATCAGAATCTATATAGTCTCAGTGAAATGTTTAAGTAACTTTTATCAAATGGCCTTTCAATACTAGTTTTATAATTGATTACTAGACCTTTGTTATTTCTATAGAAACTTTTCATATTTTCAATTTATCTTTAATATTCAGAAGTTTTACTATAAGGTAGAGGGGTGTGTCTGTGTTTACTTCATCCTTCCTGGGATCTTTTAATTTAACAACTTCTTTTTTCCCTATAAGCTCTCTTTTACTTAGTTCTCTCCCATGCTACAGCTATGTTTTCTCTCTTTAAATTCATTTCCACATTTTGCTGTCTTCGCAGGACTCCTCACAGTTTCTGTCTCGGCAATTCTCCTTATTTTCTAGTGTAACTATATACTCATGTGTGTATTTGTAATATGTCTTCTCCTATTTCTAGGGATCTAGTGAGAGAAGAGGGTGTGATATCTGCTTAGTTTGCCCTCTTGAATTTCAATAGTTCTTTTTATGATTTTATCCAACAAAACCATTTTCCTCTAGTCAGGTTGCCTTTGGATCATATTCTGACTTGCCACCTCTAAGGTATCTTTATGTCAGCTAACCTCAGCACTGTAAACTTTGTTCAGTATATACCGTATTTCACCATGTAAATGTGCACTTTTTTGCCCAAAGCTTTGAGGGAAAAATAAGGATGCACATTATACATGGGTACAATGATTACATACCATGGGTATAATAATCCCGTGTATAATGCACACAAAAATGTGGGTGCACACTGTACACGGGAATGCATTATGCACTGCAAAATACAGTATGTACATTAATTACCTCATTCACTTTGAAATCTTTACTGTAGGTCATTGAAATGAAACTATATTAGAACAAATTTTTGTAATCTACTTTTAGAAAAACTAACGTGCAAAATGTAAGGAAGTAGCACACCCCTTAGCTGATTGGCAGCTAAAATTGTTAAAGTGAATTCAGAGAGCAAGCTAATATCAGAAAGGAATAGCAATAACAGCAGGAGAGAGCTTATGAAAAGACGGACTGTGAGATAGGCTGGAAGGAGAATGAGCTGAGTGGCACGACAAGTGGGTTCTGATGGAGAGTATAAATGCTATGCTGTGCATTAAACATACATGGAAATGTTCTTGCTTTGACAGTCATATGTGTAAGTGCTCCTGTGGTGGGAAAGAGTTCTGGGCAGCTGGGCGCTGGACCTGAGGGCTCTGGAGATAAACTCTCATGAGGGTCTCAGGTATCCTCTTGTCCCTGGGCCTCCTGTGAGCACTCACTTAACAAGGTGCCTGAGCTCACCTCTCTCCCAGGTTCCCTGTCCTGGAAACTGGTTCCCTTTCTTTTTCTTTTTTCCCCACAAATTGGCCTACTTTTACTAATCCAGAAATCTAAGTAGATATGTACAGAAATAAAGTTGCAGAGCTATCTTAATTGTAACAAAATCAGAATCTATATAGTCTCAGTGAAATGTTTAAGTAACTTTTATCAAATGGCCTCTCAATACTAGTTTTATAATTGATGACTAGACCTTTGTTCTTTCCAATGATTTATAGAATTCTGCATAGCATTTAATGTCTAATAAGCAACTTTGCAATTGAGTTAATACATTTCTAGAGGTAAAATTTTATGGCACTCAAATCACAGTAGGTATTATTTTGATCAAGTAAATTCTTCTTTTAACACTTACTGTGTTTATCCCAACAGTAAATATCACTTGTAAATCTTGGTTAACTTACTGTTTTTCTCCTTAAAGTTTTCATCAACATTCCTAAGTCACCTTTTACAATATAAAATTTAGGATTTTAAACTTCTACATGAAGGAATGAGATGCTGTTATCCCTTTAACTTCACTCAACAGGCTTCAAATGAAAAAGTTTTAATTAATCCTTTATGGTTTTTTAGGACTTCTAAGTAGAGAAATTTTCAAACCAACTAGTAGTTCCACTGAGCATTTTAGTTCTGTTTAAACATATGAAAAATATATTTAATCCCAATTCCATAAGTTGTGAAATACTTGGGAAGTTTTCGCCCTGAAGAGAAAAAGTAAACAGAATAATATGCACAATTTAAACTTTAAATATCTATTAGTAAGAGCTGATTTCCTCAAGTGTTAAACACATATACAAAATAAAACACCCAGATATTAAAACCATTCCACATGCTTTAGTAGAAACTTAAAATTGAAAACTTTTTTACCTGGAAATCTAAACTAAGTAGGCTTTGCTTCGTGTCATTTAAGTCTCCAGCAGAAAATGAAACAAAACCAGAGCTTTCTTTAAAACAAAGAACAGAAGGGAATGTTGAAAAATGTTCACTGACTTCTTAGTAACCTCTAAAATAACTGGTTCCCTAGGGGATAAATGCCTTACAGTTCTTTGTGCAGAAAATCAGCCAAGAGAGTAACAGGAAAAATGGTTACCAGGGGAAACATTTTTTCTAAATCACAGGAAAAGTGGAAAACAGCAGTGGAGCAGGGCAGGGGGGCTGGGAGGGAACACATTAGTCAGTAGGCTGAGAAGGCAAAGTTGGAAGCACAAAAATGAAACTTGATTGAGTAATCTGTGGTTTTCATCGGCTATTTACATAAAAAATCTTAACATTTATACAAGCCTAGGTGATACCACTTGAGTTTTATCAGATTACTGACATGCCATTGTTGTCAAGTTAGAGGAACTGCATTCCTGGGATGCCTTTAGTTGGGTTAATGTTAATTAACTCTCATCATAGCTGTATCTCCCCACAGGGAATCTCACATGCAGCATTGTTAACAAAACAGAAAGCTGATAGTATTGTTATTGAAATTGTGTAATTTTCCACCTGGAGGCAATAACAGGAAAATATGTAAGGGAGCTGTGAGGCTTCTGGTCATGGTTACTCTGGCAAATTGGTTATGTACTTTGGCCTCATTTTCTTCATCTGCAATTGAGTAGGTCAGAGGCTGGTTGAGGTCCCAGCCTCACAACATGGCTTACAGATAATTTTGGGTGAGTTACTACTATTTCTGTCTAAAGTGTTTTTTTGTTTTTTGTTTTTTTACATCAGGGATGATAATACCTACCTTTCACATTTTTTGTACAAATAAATGAATAACATATATAAAGTGCCTGTCATAGACTAGGTAATTATATATCTATTTTTTTAATTCTTCTTATTCTACCAGAGGGGTCCAAATTATTTGACAGCTAAGAGCTACATTTTTCTTTTCCCAAAATCTTAAAATGGCCTGGATAGGTCAAATCAAGATGGTGGACTAAGCACATGGGCCACCCAAATTTCTAAAAATAACAGAAACTACATTTGTTTTTAAAAATGTAACACAGCACTGCAAAATAATTAGTACCATTAGAAGACAAGAAGTTCTGAGAAATTTCTTAAAACCTGAAGGCACATAGGCTCTGTCTGATGGACCACACTATAGCCTAAAACATGTATGGGAGAGGATAGGTCTGTGGGTGTTCCAAACTTAGAAATGACAGATCCTAGGAATGGTGAAGTTTGTTGGAAAACTGCACTTAAGAGTAGCAGGGCAAATGACCCCAAGCCTCTGATGTCTCCATGATTTGTTCCAAGAATTAGGTATTTGCCTCCAAATTGAACCCATGTTTTCAGCCACTTGGCCTTAGGTAGCTGGTAGAACAGGGAGCCCCCGTGATCAGAACCCAAACTCACTACAGTACAACTTGGTTCAAGCACAGAGTTCACCATCTCCACCCACCTATTCAGAGCTTTTGGTCAGTGTGTTAACTCTGTATTATGCCATAAGGAGATAGTATAGTGTTACCAAATGTTTAGCAAGGTTCTAACATTGGAAATAGGAGTCCCCCTCACCTCCCCTCCAGAAAATACATACACACAATCAGAAAGGATAAGAACTTTTGGAGACTAAACCAACAGTGAGGTGTTACTACACACCTACTAGAATTGCAAAAATCCAAAACACTGACAAAACTAAATGCTAGTGAGAGTGTGGAACAATAGGAACTGTTACTCATTTCTGGTGGGAATGAAAAATGAAAAATTCCCTTGAGCCACTCTGGAAGACAATTTGGCAGTTTCTTTAAAAACTAAACATATTTTTACCCTATAATAATCCAGCAATCATGTTCCGTGGTATTTACCAAAATGGGTTTAAAACTTATGTCCACACAAAAACCTGTACACAGATGTTTAAAGCAGCTTTATCTATAATCACCAAAACTTAGAAACAATCAAGATGTCCTTCAGTAGGTACCTGGATAAACTGTGGTACATCCAGAAAACAGAATATTACTCAGTGCTAAAATGAAATGGGCTATTAAGCCATGAAAAGACATAGATGAACCTTAAATGCATATTCCTAAGTGAAAGAAGCCAACCTGAAAAGGCTACATGCTATATGCTTCCAACTGTATGACGTTCTGGAAAAAGGAAAATTTGGAGACAGTAAAAAGATCAGAGATTGCTAGGGTTTGGGGAGGGGGAGGGATGAATAGTTGGAGCACAGAGGATTTTTAGGGCAGTGAAAATATTCTGTATGATCTTTTAATGATAGATACATGTAATTATACAGTTGTCCAAACCCACACAATGTATAATACCCAAAGTGAACCCTAATGTGACTGTGGACTTCGGTGATTATGATGTGTCATTATAGGTACATTAGTTTTAACAAATGCACCATGATAGTGGGGATGTTGATAATGAGGGAGGCTGGAGGGGAAACTGGAGATATAAGGGAAACCAGAGATACATGGAAAGCCTCTGTACCTTCCTCTCAATTTTGCTCTGAATCTGAAACTGCTCTTTAATAAAATAGCCTTTAAAAATTTGGCTGAGGAGGGAAAAAATATTGCTGATATGCAGTGTTTAGGGCACACAGAAACTCTTATTTCCTTGAGGGCAGCTTAAAAATAGCTACATTCCATCTTAGCCTTTTACTTCTAGAAATCCATTATAGAAACACATCTTTCCCAGCACAGGTGTGCCTGTAGGAAAGCATTTTGAAGCACTGTAACCATGAAAAAAAAAGAAGGCATTCACCCAGTTGTATATTCATATGGAAAGTGGGCTGCCATAAATCTATGAAGAGAGACTGAAGTAACTCTGTTATACAGGCATGCAAAGTTACAATAAACCAAAAGGAAAAAAGAAATTTCAAACCATATATGTGCTGTTACCTTCTTTTAATTGTATACAATTTAGCTCCTTACCAGAGAACAGGTTAGAAAGAATAAGCAACAAACTGTTAAAACATAGTGGTTATTTTAGTGATAAAATTATGGGGGAACTTTACTATGTAAATCTGTATTTTGGTAATGTTTTGAGCTTTTTATAACCAGATCAGAAAACTAGTAACTTCTTAAGGAGAATTTAAACATTTAGGGGGAAAAAGTAGCAGCATGGAGGAGTAGGAGCAGTCACCATGCCCAGAATGACATGGTTGTAGAGGGCCAGATTGTACAGTTTCTGAGATCCCTGCTCTAAAATTTTGTGGTTGGATGGACTGTTACATAAGTTCTTCCACAGAAACTATTTTAACAACAGTAGTGCATGGAAAATGCTGGGATTAGAGAGTTCTCCTCCCCCTTATTATTACAGCAGTCGCTATGTTCTGAGACTCAGCTCTGACATCTCTGCAGAGGTTATTTTGGTCACCGAACAGGATGTGAGCAGGTCCTCAGTGCCCAGTCCACAAGGGCAGCAAGTGCAGGTTTCAGCTCCAGAACGTGTCTGAGTGAAGTATCTTTCCCTCAGTGGTATAGAGCACCAGTGAGTTAAGTTGTTTTTTTTTTAAGGTATGATTACTTTCCATTTGACAACTTTATAGATAATACCCAGATAAAGCGAAATTTTAAGTAGAACCCCTCTCAGAAATGGGAGTCCTGCCTATTCTGAATCATCACCTACTGCCATAGTCAAACTCCTTTTCAGCTAATTCACACTGAAGTATGACAGATGTTTCATTTGCCCCCTTAAAGGAATACTAACATTTAAGTGGAGTACTGATGTATAAAATATGCCATCTGTCTATCAGTGGACCTTTGGGTTATGTACCCTTTTTGAGTTTGGGTGCATGTTTCCAGATTGCTTTCAAAAAAATTCTAGTAATATATACTCCCACAAGAAAATGTATAAAATGCCTGTTTCATTGCTATTTTATTTTTTAGATTATTTTTATATTTTTGAATAGACAATGCATGGTAATTGACATAAATTTTTAAAGTAAACAGTTAAAATTTTCAGCTTTCTACATCCAGTATTGGCAAATTGATTGATTATACCAATCTTCTCATCAAAGACAACTAAAAAAGTTGGATCACTATAAAAACATTTAAAAATCATTAGTGAGGTCTCACTGGGCCCTGACCCAAGGGAACTCATGAGCAGATTTTTGCCCTGGGAGTGTTTACTAAAAATATTAAAGAGCAAAAATATCAATGAAAACCAATACACAGCAGATAAGATCAACATTGCGAAAAGCTGGGTTTAAAAAAACAAACTAATAAAATTGTTAATGCAGGGAGGAAGGGGAAGGAAAAAGCACAGGTTACCAGTATGAAGACTAGAAAGTTTGCCCATTACAGATTCTAAAACATTTAAAAGAAAAGATGATATTATGAACAACTTTATGCCAGAAAATTTAGATGATATAGACAATATCTAGAAAGACACAATTTCTTAAAACTGTCCGAAGAAGAAATAGAAAATCTGAATTATATATTAAGGAAATTGAATTCATAATTTCAAACCTTTCCACAAAGAATACCACAGTCCTATATTACTTATTAAAAAATTCTATCAAGCAATTTGTTAATGTCACAGGTGAGCACAGATAACCAAGTTCTTAGTGAGTGCAAACAATGAATTGAACCTGAACACACAGAGAGTTTATAGCAGAAAGAGAGCAGATTTATTAAGCGTTAGTACACTCCACAGAACGTGGGAGCAGGTCATTCCAAGCAGAGATTGACCTTCAGTGGCAGGAGGAATTCTATTCTTATGGAACAGATATTTCCTGGCTAGTTTTGGTGGGCTATTATTGTGAGTGTATAAGCAGTTACCATATTTTACCATGTATGATGTGCACCCACCTTTTTGTGCGCATGATACACAGAATTATTATACCCACGTATAATGTGCATTCTTATTTTTCCCTCAGAAATTTGGGCAAAAATTTGCACATTTGAGGTGGAGGCAGACTCTGTCCCGCAGAGCCAGTCCGGGTCGTCACAGATGGGGAAATAAAAATAAGCCATTCCAGACACTTTCTCAGTCTGCCAGGGAAAGCGGGTGGCAATTCCCTCTAATGGAGAA